GCAAGTGCAGAGACCAAGTCCATCCAGGGTGGCTGGAGAGCAGGGCAGCAGGCATTCAGGTTAGAGAGGGATGGGGCCAAATCATAGGATCTTCCAGGCTGTGTGAGATTTCGGTTTCACGTTTTCTTTTCTTTTTTTTTTTTTTTTTAAATTTACAAGATGATGCAAATTTTACACACACACCCCCACCCTTTAAAAATCTTTTTGGTCTATTGTATCTGTACTTGTTAAGGCTGTTTGGCTTATATGTAACAGAAAATAATATTGCCTGAATGACTTGAGCCAAGAGGAATTATTTTTTCCACAATGAGAAGCCAGAGGGTGGGAGATCCAGCAGCCTGGACAGAGTAGGGACCTTTGCCAGTGCTCATAGCAGGTGACTCTGGCAGTGTGACTGTCACACCCGTGTTCAGGGGAGCCCATGGGATGGGGTCAGAGAGCCGTGGTTCTCCCTTCTACTAGACAATTAGCAGGGCTCCACAGCCCCTAGTGACCATCTCTTGGTCAGAGGTATGGCTCCAGCTGCAAGGGGTGCTGGGAAAGTGGGGAACAGGACTTGCTGTAGTATTCCTAAGGCTTGGTCCTCGCAGCATTTTTGAGTCAAGAAACTCTGCTGGGAAACCGAGCTCTACATAAGCCTGGCTCTGTCCACTAGCTACCAGGCACGTAGCTCTCACTGGGACAACAAAACCATTTTCAGGGATTCCCAGAAGGGCAAATGGGATGGGGAAATACCGATTGGAGCAGCCAGGATCCATCCTCTGGGCTGAGCAGATGGCTGCCCTGAACAACTGCTTATTTATCATTTAGTGTTACCGGGATCTAATCACAGCCTTGAGAGAAATAGACAAGCACTCTCCTTGAGCTGTGTCCAGGCTGATCCAAACTTGTTTTATAACCTGGACAAGCCTTGGATGTGTGACTGTCCTTGCTCAGCCTCTCAAGGAGCTGGCCTGTGCCACCAAGTCTGACTTCTAGTTCACTCTGTAGCCAGCACTAGCCTCAAACTCCCCATCTTCCTGCCTCGACTTCCCAAGTGCTGGGGTTAAGGGCAGACACAACCACGCCTGGCTGAAGTAGGCTGTTTCTCGGCAAGGAAAGTGGGAGGGGCTGCATCCTCTGAGAGGGCTGCTTGTCAGAGTTAAGCTCAGCCAGGGTCCCATGGGGTGAAGCTTTACTTCTTGCTGGGGTTTCTCAGAGAAGCCCACCACAGCCTTGGGAGGGCATAGGCTGTTATCTCTAATCTAGAGAGGTTTTAGGTCTTCCCATGCCAACCAACTGCCTTGTGGCAAGCTAGAGTTTAGAGTAGGCCTGCTGGCCCTAGTATCTACACTGTTAACCCAATGCCAGGCTGCTTTCTTAGTACACAGTGTGGGAGGTGCGTGACCTAGGTGACACATGCTCTGGGAGGCACGCGGTGTGGGGACACTTAATCCCAGCAGGTCAACCTGCTTGTGCCAGCCTGCGGAGTGGTGCACCACACCTATGAGGCCAGGCCGTCTCACTGAGACTCTCCTTATACCTTGGGAACTAGTTTGGCTGGCCTGGACAACAGCATCAGCTGCGACCTTGCCCTAAGGTTGATCGTAGACTGTCGTTGGCAGGAGTCACACCTGGAAGAGGTGAGACCTGGAGGCATGGAAGGTCACAGGTACTGCTGGTAGTCACATCTGTGGTGACTGGAGCTGGTCAGAAGCATTAGGTTTAGAAGGACAGTCTGGGACTGGATTCAAGACTTCACTGCCTCCAGCTGTGTGGCCTTGGGAAAGTCACTCCCCCTTTGTGCCATATTCTAGGACCCCATGTTGGTTCCCAGCTCTTACTTAGACCACCTGAAGAGTCACTGAGAAACAGTAGGGACAATGACAAGTGGCAAGTTCATGTTTATTAATAGTCTCTTCACCGAGCTTCCCTTTTGTAGATGAAGTGGAACTCATACATTGTCTTGGGTGGTTTAATGGACCCAACCTATTCCCAGTGCTAAAAAGGCCCATGGGTTCCCTGGAAGGAATAGAAAAATACTCTTCTAGACCAGGCACAGGGTGGCTGGGCTGCCAGGCCAGAGCTACCTTAATGATGGAGCCTGATCCTCACCGTCCCCTGAGAGTGAGGTCAGCAAGCCAGTTCTGAGGTGGTCCCTGTCTTAGACATCTGCAGATGGCTCCAAGGTGTCTGTGAGCAGAACCTTTTCTGGGGCAGTGGCTTCTCCCTCTATAGACTCTCCCAGGCCTGCTAGTTGGTGTCTTCCGTTCCCAGTCACAGAGTGGGGTATATGAGACACTGTCTGAAAAAACAAGGGCTGGAGAGATGGCTCAGCAGTTAAAAAACACTGGATGCTCTTCCAGATGACCTGGGCTTGATCCTTAGCACCCATATGGCTGCTCACAACTGTCCATGCCTCTAGTTCCATACAGACCTGATGCCCTCTTCTGGCCTCTGGAGGTACTACACATACCTGGCACACAGGCATACACACAGCCAAAACACTCATACAGAAGAAATAAACAACTCCACTCCCAATTCCTAATAAACAGGTTTATTTAGCTCAAGGTTCTGGAGGTTGGTAAATCCAAGACTGAGGGATCAGCATTCAGATGTCATGACATGACATGACAGAAACAGCCTGTGGTGAGACTTAGCTTCCTCTCCCTTATGAAGCCATTAATGCAGCTAGCTCCTCAAGGTGGCTCAGGAGGCAGAGACGCTGGCTGCAAACCATATCATAGAAGGAGAGAACTGACTGCTGCAAGTTATCCTCTGACTGCACATGAGTTCCGTGCTATACTCGATGTGACATGTGCACACACACACACACAAACACACACGAGGAATGTAAATAAAAAAAAGTCAGTAATGCACACTCTGATAGCTTCAATTCTATTTAACGCCCAATTGTGACGACTCCAGATGCCGTCACCAGGGTACTTTCTGGGTCTTTCTGTTTGCTTGCTTTGGTACTGGGAATGGAAACGCGTGTTGGGCAGGCGCTCTACCACTGAGCTACATTCCCAGCTCAGCATATGATAGGCATATTAATTTTCAGTATGAGTTTCAGAGGAGCTTTTCAAGCCATGCAGTCACTTACTAGAGTAGTGATTGTGGGTGTCTGCCTCAAGCCCCAATTTACTTACCTTTTTAATAGGATATTAATGAACAAAGCATGGTGGTGCATGCCCTTAGTCCCAACACTCAGGTGTATGTCCTTAGTCCCAACACTCAGGTGTATGCCCTTAGTCCCAACACTCAGGAGGCAGAGAAAGGCAGATCTCTGTGATTTCAAGGCTAGCCTGGTCTATATAGGGAGTTTCAGGCCAGCCAAGGCTACATAGTGAGACCCCTATCTCAAAAAAAAAAAAACCCAAATAATAATTAAGATGGCGTATTACTGCTCCCAGGCTATGAGGATGGGGTGAAAGGAGAATTCTACAGTACCCAGCAGGAGGGCCAGGGAGACGCTTCATTCAGTCAGGTGTTTACCACATGAGCGTGAGTTCAGATCTCCAGAACTCACTTAAAAACAAACAACAACAACAGCAAAACCTGGGTACAGTGGCCTGGGTCTGTACCTGTATAGTAGGTTGGAGATAGGGAACCAGGTTGCAGATCCCTGGAACTCTGGCTGGCCAGCCTAGCCAGTCTGTGAGTGCCAGGCTCAGTGAGATGCTCTGTCTCAAAATCTAAGGTAGAGTGCAGTCAAGGGAGAAGCCTGGTATCGACTCTGGGCTTCCATATGTATGTGCACTCACATGCACATGTGTGCACACCACACAGACGTGCCCACACCACATACACAATATGACTATTAAAATGATAAAGTACTCAGTGTGGGATATGGCACATGGTGTAAGTGCCCGGTGTACTATGGCTGTTGCTTAGCTAGGGCATGCCAGTGACTTCATCTGCATCTAGCTGGGCCCTGAACTGGGAGACCCAGTGTCACCCACACACCTTCTCGCTTGACACAGGTGGGCAGTGTCCTCCATGATGTGGCAATGGGGCCTTGATGGCAGACCCAGGAGCTCAGCTGATCTCCATCCACCAGGCTAGACCCTCAGACAGCAGGCTCTGTAGCCAGAGCTCCTTTCTCACGGGGACTTGGCAGGTGGCAGTGGAGCTCCGTGTGGTTCAGGCAGCTGCACCTGCTAGCAGCACCTTGCCTTTGGGAGGAGTCATCAGAGTTGCCATATTTAACAGCAAAGGATCCAGGCCATTCACTTAGGTTTGAATATGAAAGAAACAAATGACTTACTCATATAATACATTCCAACCAATGCATTACACTATAAAACCAATTTGTTGTCTCCCTGAAATTGTGGTTTAACAGAGTGACCTGAATTTTGTCTGGCATCCCTAGGCACCAGGCCCCACTCCCCTCAGACTCTGATTTACTGGGTACAATGGTGGTTTCAGGTCTGGTCACATAAAATTGGGTTTGCCAATCTGAGCAGTTTATCCAGCTCATTGACCATGCTGATTGGCTCAGAGATAGGCATATGGCCCAGTCAGGGACCAATGAGTTTCAGCCTGGAGCAGGCATTAAGAGAGACCTCCAGAGGTCCCCAGAAGCAGAGATGGAATCACTTGGGGTGCTAGAGAGCGTTTATTTGTTTTATGTGGTTTGTTTGTTTTGGTTTCCTGACACAGTCTCACTATGTAGTCCAAACTGGTCTTGAACTCAGAAGATCCTCCTGCCTTAGGCTTCAAAGTTCGGGATGACAGGCATCTTTCTGCCTTCCATCCGCGTGACTGATTTTGCTTAAGTCGGTTTGAGTTTTTTCTACCTGTGTGTGCAACGAATGAAATAGACTGGGTGCCACTGCAGAGGCCACCGAGTGAGTGTTTTGGGGATTCTGTGGAAGGAAGTGCACAGTTCCTAAGCTAGGGCGGCCCCTGGCCTGCCAAGAGCTCTTGGCTCCCTAGGCAGCAAGCTTGCCCTTTCCACGCCCCCCGACACGCTCCAGGACACTTGCCTACCTTGGGGATAAAGAACAAGTCTCCACTCAGTGTTTTCTCTCTTTATTTTCTAGACAAAGCGTGTGCTCCCCAGAAAAGACTTCTTACCCGATGCTCCCTCCCCATTATCTGCTCACCCCACTCCCAGTCTGGTACTAGGTCAACCAAGGCCGACTAGGGCAGGATCACTGACTCTGGAGGACTGAGGTGGTAACACACATAGAGGTTAGTGGCCTGCCACCCGGAGAGGGAATTCAGGGGCCTCTGGAGCCTGTCTACTAGGCCAAAAGACAAAGAGGAAAGACTGGGAAGTGTGGGCAGGAGCCAGGCAAGGTTACAACTTCAGTATTAACTGGTACCGGCATCTTGACCCTATGGATCCTTCAGCTTGGGGCTGACCAGTTACTGCTGGCTTCTCTAGAGAGACACTGGGCTCTGGTGTGGGCACTGTGTTGCTGGCTCTATGGATGAGCCTAATAAAATGAAGCACTGGCGATGGTTATAACTTTCCAGCTTTTGAGTTCACCCGTGGCTCGGCGGGGTGGGGTCTAGATGGCCTCGACTTCACTGTCTGACTCCACAGTGTCCAAAGGCTGCAGCCTCAGGGAGTCATAGTTGGGGGGTGGGGTGCCTGGAATGGGCAGAGTCTGCTGGTCAGGGTAGACCTCGGCATAGAGGCTATGGCTGGTTGTATCAGGCTGGAAGCCAAAGTTGGTGTGGGCCTCCACCAGCTCAGCCACAGTGGGTGGCGGGCCAGTGTACGATGCCTGTGGCCGTCTCTTGCGCAGGCCTTTGCAGAAGACCACCAGCTTGATGATGGTGATCCAAATGAAGTCGATAATGATCTCCCCAAACTCAATGAGGCACAGCACTGAGCCCCCCATCCAGAAGCCAAACTGGCCCCCCAGGTTCGAGAGCAGCCACACGATCTGTAGGAAACAGGGAAGTGGGGGCCCAGGTCTAGCCAGCTTTAGGGGTCCTAACACCCACCCAGGGTCCCGGGGATCCACGAGGCAGACACCCACACACTTACATTGTTTGCTGGTGATTCCTCAATGGTGCGGTAGTTGAACTCTTGGAAATAGATATTGAGTTTGACAACGCCCTTCCTACAGGGGGCAGCAAGGCAGGTTGACACCATGGCCTGCCCTCCCTCCCAGGATGGGTACAATCATGTGTCCCATGGGAAGGGCACTCCAAGGCACCCTGCCCACCTCCAGCCTGAGTTGCTCTCAGGAGTGGGGAGATCCAAACCAGACCTGGAGGAACTGCCCCTTTCCACTGGCTCTGGGGCTCAGAGCCACTAAGAAGATTTGTGCCCAGCACCTTTCCTGTGAATGTCTTTTTCATCCCCATGTGTGCCATTTTCCTGAAGGGCCTTCTGGCCTGAGAGGTCCCAAAAGGTTACTCTGAAGCTCCTCTCTGGGCCTAGGGTAACCCAACCCATATGCCACACATCCAAGCAGGGTGACCAGGGGCTGAAAAGGTGACAGGAGTGGTTCCCCATTACATTGGGGAGTCCCTGGAAAGACGGAGCTGTTTTATTTCTGCAGATCTTTCCCAAACTCCACATTCCCCCTGGGTATCTTGGCCTCTTCTTAACTGGGATTGGCTCCTACTTCTCAAGTGTCACCTGTTCACAGATCTCCTTGTTTCTCAGGCTTACTGGGGTTTCTCCCTGTTCTTAAAGAATATGGGGTTTGTGCAAGACAGTCTTGGCTGGAAGGCCTTCTTGCATCTCAGCTCAAGATTCCTGGGGGTGTAGACCTTGTCTTTCCTACGCTCAGTGTGTTGAATGGATGGAGGGAAGGTAGGTGGGTGGATAGGTGAGGAACAGACAGAAGGATGGGAGTTGGCAAGACAGCTCAGCATGTAAACTGCTCGCCACACAAGCCCGATGGCCTGAGTCAACCTCAGGAACCCACAGAAGGAGGGAAGTGACTCCACAAAGTTGTCTTATGACCTTCTCATGCACACCGTGGCATGTGTGTGCTGCGTACATACATACCACACATGGCATAATTGTTTTTAAATAATGGCAGATGTGGTGATGGGGCTATGGAGTAGCGCTGGCCTGTGGAACATCGGCCCTTCATCCGTTAGACACCGACCCCTCAGCTGCTTTTCTTCCCTCTCCCTCCTCTAGTCTTGCACTGAATTTTAACAGCAAAAGGAATTTGGGCAGCGGTTCCGCGTGCAAACCCTGCCCCAGGCACTGGTTCCTCCCTTTCCTGCCTTTGCCAGCCCTGGTCACAATCCATCCTCACCTGCTCAGGGTGATGTTTGCGCTCTGGTCCCGCTCCTGAGATAGGACATGGAAGATCCAATCCTAGAACCCAAGAAGGCAGCTGAAAGAAAGGGACATGTGCGCGCGCACACACACACACACACACACACGCACACACACACACACACACACACACACACACACACACACACACACACACCATAGCCCCTGTTGCCTAGGATCTGGGCAGAGAGAAGCCCCGCACCTTCCAGAAGTCTGAGCCTTGAGTTGAGAACAGAAGCCTGTCTGTTGTCAGAGAGAGGAAGGAGCTCGAGGAGCTTGGCTCTCTAGATTTCTTGTCCCCAGGCGAGTATTGCCAGTCTCTTTTCCATCTCTGGCCATAGCACTGGCTGTTCTTTCTGCTCAGAATCCTCCCCGGCCTGCCTGGGCCAGCTCTGCCTCTGGCTATGGCTCTCTGGCACCTCTGTAGAGAGGCCTCCTTGATTGCAGTCTAAGCTGTTCTCTCCCGTTGTTTCTGTGTATATGTCTCTCACTGACTGGGCTCTAGACTTGGCTAATGGAAGCTATGCCTGTCCAGGGCATGGTACCTGGGAGAGTATGGGTGGAGTGGAAAGGAGGGGAGGGAGGAGTGGAAAGAAAGGGATTGTGGGAGGGAGAAGGGAGGGATGTAGAAATGGATGGAGAGGGACAGGGAAAGAAAGATGGAGGGGGAGAGAGGGAAAAGACTCTAAAGTCCCAGACTTGTTCTCAACCCAAAGACAGAGGAGACCAGGAGCTTGGCCTTCTGCCATCTCACCTCAGAGGCCTCGGAAGGCCAGTCAGCCATGGAGATGGTCATCTTGTACTGCGTGTCGCTGGAAGAGAGAAGCCAGCCCTGTTGCTGTCCTGACGGCCCTGTGCCCTCCTCCTCACCAGCCCCGGCTCACCCCCCTGTGCCACACTCACTTGCAGGAATCCTTGCACATGCTGAGGCAGGTCTCTCTCTGGGCCACGCTCATCTGCAGGCTTAGGTAGCAGTAGGCTGCGTGGGTGAGATGGAGGTGGTCAGGAGCAAGGAGGGCTGCTTCTGGGGGTCCTCCCTCCCCCAGCCAGTGTCTGCTGTCCTCCCTAAGTCCCCTAAGGGAGACCTAATCCAAGTCTCCAGTCACTAATACCATTGCCCTGCACCCCCACCCCTCCCCTGCCCCATCTTGCCCCAGCCCAGTTTGGGGTCCTGTCCCTAAATGTCGTAGATGCAGCTCAGAGGGCAGAGTGTCTTCTTTGTCCCTCCTCATCAGTACCCAGAAGAGAGCTTCTGGGGTCGTGTACAGAGGGATGAGCAACCAAAAACAAACAAACAAATACATGTATGTTTTCCTCGCTTGCATATCGTAATGGTGGTAGGACCCACGACTACTAATTGTATCCCTAGATTGACTCCAATCCCCCAGGGCCCTCAGTCTCAGGCTCCATCTATGTGGGAACCCATTTGGGATTTGTCCTATGACGCTGGCTTCCGACTCCTGGAAGCCACCATCACAACAGCAACTTCTTCAGTGCCCCCCTCCTGCAGCCCAGTTCCTTCCATGCATGGATGCACATGCTGAGGATGGAGTCACGGCTTTACGTGTACATACACACATGCAAACCCTGGAAGCAAGGCGCCTGTTGAGGAGCTCACACTGGCAGTGCAGTGATACAGTGTTCTGTGCACAAAGACACAGCTGTACCTTTCCCATGTGCATCCCATGTGAAGATCCTGTATACGTACATGCCTAACCCCTGGCTCGTGTGTGCAGGGACATACACAGCACACATACACACACATGCCCACATCTGTGTCTCAAGCACGCATGTCACAGAATCAAAATGGGGAGACGGAAGGTTCTTTTGGAAGGGGGCCCGGGTGGGGTTGTGGGCTGGGGAGAGACCCTGTTAGTGAGGGGCCTCTCCTCGCTGTTGCCAGTCTTCCGGTGCTACACTCACCCCAGTCTGGGAAGTCCCTGCTGTTGCAGTACCTCTCCCCAGCGGGCAGCGGGTACAAGTAGTGGCCGCAGCTGCAGTTACGGATCATGAGGTCTTGGAAACAGGAATGGAGACAGGCCTGGGGGTGCAGAACAGATCTCAGGCAGGGTGGGATGGTCCCACTCCAGTACCGAGAAGCAAGAGCCCACAGGAGCTACTGCCAGGGAACTAGGCACTACTGGGGACTAGGAGGTGTGGTCTCTGGGGTTAGGCCACTGTTGTTCTTGCACATCGGACCCCACAGCAGCCTCTTGGACTCTGCACAGGGACTCGGGTCAGAGCCCAGCAGCCCCAGTCTTCCACCCAAAGCTGGGTCCTGCAGGTGGGATGGGCAGGGGTGGCCTTCCTCAAATAAACCTCCAGTGAAGGGCCAGCACCCTTCTGAGGTCTGTCCACACAGAGACCCAGAAAGACAGCAGGCAAGATGACTCAAACCTGCTTTCTTTTGGGGGGTGGGGAGTAGGATACCCAAGGGAGGTAGAGGGGTGATCTTTAATGGATCAGAGCTGAGGGGAGGTGGAGCAGAGGGGAGACGAGAGTCCCCAACTCTGAGAACTGTATGTAGTGAGGACACTTTCAAGGCCCATTGCCCATGGTGTTTAGGTCATCCTGACCCGGTTCCAGTTCACTCACAGACCAGCTATGTGTCCCGAAGCCAGGGATTAACTTGTGAGCCTCAGTTTACTCATGGAGAAACAGGATGCTAGTCACACCTGCTTTCCAAGGTTGGCGGACTCAGCACAGCGAAAGGCGCTTAGTATGTGATTACTGTGCTGGCTCTCTGCTTCTCTGCTGCGCCTGTCCTATGTGTTGACGACTATGACCTCCAACCCATGCCCACTCCTCATGCCTCTGCCTACCCCATTGTTCCCTTCTTCCCTGCTCCCTCTCCTCCAGATCAATGTATCTGACTTCTTCCAGAGGAACCACGGAGGTCCCCACTGGCAGGAGGTAGGGCTGGCCAGCCCATTCAGAAGTGTGGTCAAGAAGAGACCACACAGACTTCAGTCCCTCTTTAGGAAAAGAGGTGCCATCCCCATGCTGTGGTTGAGGCTGGGGTAGCCCAGACAGCTCCTGGTAGAAAGTGGGCAGTAGGCAGAGCTTCTGACAGGGTCTAGATTTCTGTTCTTGCCCTGGAAGCAGCAGGCTCTGAAGTTTCCCGGAAATGTAGCTAGTCTTCCTTTTCCATGTCCTCTGCCTTCCTGGGCTGCTCTGTTTGTTTGTCCCTTCCTCTGGAAGCTCCAGAGATGCCTAGAGTTCTTCATGGCAAACTGAAGCCCATAAGATAGGAAGCGGCCACGTCAGCTAATGTTGGGGGCTGTCATGCCAAATTCAGGGCTCCCAGACATGGAGGCAAACACCCTTTCCTTGCCTTTGTTTTCTCATCTCCCCAGGCAGGCTGGACTTGGGGGGAAAGTCAACAAGCTATCCATTTGGTCCTGTTTGCAAGATTTGTTCTCTCCTCTCAAGCCTGTAGAGGGAAGGTTACATACAGGCTGACCTCAGAGACAGAGGAAAGCTCCCAGCTACAGCACTGAAGCTTGAGGACAGCTGCCTAAGAGGGGCATTCTCCTGTTAATTGGTGAGGCATTCAGTTCAGGGCATGTGCAACCTAGGGGTGCCCTGAGGATGTAACATGTGAATTGCCAAGCGCATGGCCAACCTGGGCAGTTTATACATTCATAAAAGCTGCTGTTGTTGGCATCCTGATATCAGAGAGTGGCTGAAGAGATCAGATGGGGAAATGCATGCAGATCCATTCCCAGCACTGAATCTCACACACTGTGAGAGTTCCATCCTGGGTGGTTCCACCAGGGAAGTCTGCTAAAGAGATGGAAGAGTGGCTAGCCCTGGGCCCTGGGTGAGAACCCAGGACCCTTGTCTTTGCAGTACCATGGTCCCTGGTGCTACTTACAAAGGTCTGCCTGGAGCTCATGCCTGTAACCCCATTACTGAAAAGGCTGAGAAAGGCAGATTGTAAATTTCAGGCCTGCCTGGGCTACATAGGGTAACCCTATCTCAAATAAGTAAGTAAATAAGAAATAAAAGATTTGGCAGAGCCGGGTGGTGGTGATGCACGCCTTTAATCCCAGCACTCGGGAGGCAGAGGCAGGCGGATCTCTGGGAGTTCGAGGCCAGCCTGGTCTACAAGAGCAGGAACCAAAAGCTATGGAGAAACCCTGTCTCAAAAATCCAAAAAAAAAAAAAAAAAAAAAAAAAAAAAAAAAAAAAAAAAAAAAAAAACAAAAAAGGAA